AATTTTATATAGATTAGCAAATAGAGTACAGCAACTTATCATGAGAATAATACACTATGACCAGGTAGGATTTATACCAGGAATGCAAGGCTGGTTCAATATTAGGAAAATATCAGCATAATTGATCATATCAACAACCAAACTAAGAGAAATCACATGATTATTTCAATAGATGCAGAAAAACCTTTTGTTGAAATGCAACACCCATTCCTATTATAAACACTAGAGAGCATAGGAATAAAGGGAGTCTTCCTCAAAATGATAAGTAGCATGTACCTAAAACCTTCAGTAAGCATCATATGTAATGGGGATAAGGTAGAAGCATTTCCAATAAGATCGGGGGCAAAACAAGGATGTCCATTATCTCCACTGTTGTTCAATGTGGTACTAGAAGTGTTAGCTTTAGCAATAAGAGAAGAAAAAGAAATTGAAGGTATTAGAATAGGCAAAGAAGAAACAAAGCTATCACTCTTTGCAGGTGATATGATTACATACTTAGAGAACCCTAGAGAATCAAGCAAAAAACTACTTGAAATAATAAACAACTTTAGCAGGTTATAAAATAAACCCACATAAATCATCAGCATTTCTATATATTACCAACAAAGCCCAACAGCCAGAGATAGAAAGAGAAATTCCATTTAAAGTTACTGTAGACAGTATAAAATATTTAGGAATCTACTTGCCGAAACAAACCCAGGAACTATATGAACACAATTACAAAACACTTTTCACACAAATAAAGTCATATCTAAATAATTGGAAAAACATCTGTTGTTCATGGGTAGGCTGAGCTAATATAATAAAAATGACAATTCTACCTAAGTTAACTTACTTATTCGTTGCCATGCCAATCAAACTGCCAAAAATTATTTTATATAGCTAGGAAAATAATAACAAGATTTATTTGGAAGAACAAAAAGTCCAGATTATCAAGGGAACTAATGAAAAAAAATGCTATGGTAGGTGACCTAGCAGTTCCAGATCTTAAATTGTATTACAAAGCAGCAATCATCAAAATTACTTGGTACTGGCTAAGAAATAGAGTGGTGGATCAGTGGAATAGAGGAGGTATGCAAGACACAGTAGTCAATGACTATAGTAATCTATTATTCGATAAATCCAAAGACCCCAGCTTCTGGGATAAGAACTCACTATTTGACAAAAACTGCTAGGAAAACTGGAAAAGAATATGGCAGAAACTACGCATAGACCAAAATCTTACGCCATATACCAAAATAAAGTCAAAATATTTAGGTATAAAGGCTGATACTATAAGCAAACTGGGAAAGCAAAGGATAGTTTACTGTCAGATTTACGGAGAACAGAAGAATTTATGACCAAACAAGAGACAGAGAACATTATGAAATGCAAAATGGATAATTTTGATTACATTAAGTTGAAAAGTTTTTGCACAAACAAAACCAATGCAACCAAGATTAGGAGGGAAGCAGAAAGCTGGAAAAGAATTTTTATAACCACTGACTCTGATAAGGGCCTCATTTCTAAAATATATAGAGAACTAAGTCAAATTTATAAGAATGCAAATCATTCCCTAATTGATAAATGGTCAAAGGATATGAACAGGCAGTTTTAAGAGGAAGAAATTAAAGCTAGCTATACTTATATGAAAAAAATGCTCTAAATCACATTGATTAGAGAAATGCAAATCAAAACAACTCTGAAGTACCACATCACACCTATCATATTGGCTAACATGACAAAACAAGAAAATGATAAATGTTGGAGAAGATGTGAGAAAATTGGAACACTAATGCATTGTTGGTGGAGTTGTGAACTGATCCAACCGTTTTGGAGAGCAATTTGGAACTATGCCCAAAGGGCTATAAAAAAATGTACATACCCTTTGACCCAGCAATAGCACTTCTAAGGCTGTATCCCAAAGAGATCATAAAAATGGGAAAAGGACCCACATGTACAAAAATATTTATAGCAGCCATTACTGTAGTGGCAAAGAATTGGAAATTGAGGGGATGCCCATCAATTGGGGAAATGGCTGAACAAGTTGTGATATATGAATGTAATGGAATACCATTGTGCTATAAGAAATGATGAGCCAGCAGACTTCAGAAAAACCTGGAAAGACTTGTAGGGACTGATGTTGAGTGAAGTGAACAGAACCAAGAGAACGTTGTACACAGTTAACAGCCACATTGTATGATGAGTAACTTTGATAGACTTAGCTCTTCTCAGCAATGCAAGGATCTAAGACATCTCCAAAAGTCTTATGATGAAAAATGCTATCCACATCCAGAGAAACAACTATGGAGTTGGAATGCAGATTGAAGCATACTATTTGCTCTTTTTTTTTCCCTCTTCTATTTTGTTTTGTTTCTTCTTTCTTGTGGTTCCTCATATTGGTTCTAATTCTTCTTTACAACATGACTAATATGAAAATATGTTTAATAGGAATGTATACGTAGAGCCTATATCAGATTGCATGCAGTCTTGGGGAGGGAGGTGGGAAGGGAGAGGGAGAAAATTTAAAGCTCGAAAGCTTATGGAAGTGATTGCTGAAAACTAAAAATAAAATAATTAAAAAAAGAAAAAATAAACTATCATTGCTATCAGTAAAGTATGCTTCAAAAGAAAATTGTATTTTAAAATTGAAGGAAAAATCAGTAAAATTCAAAATTAAAATTAATATACAGCTACCATCTTCAAAAATAATGAATATATCAGGCTAAATTCAACTTCAAATGCAAGCTATAAAATAAAACTTTATGATATATAGTTTTATACAAAATAAAACTTATTTTATAACAGAAATATCAAAATTGAAAATTCAAAAAAATTTAAATTATGAACACATGAACAATAATTTTTAAAAATAATGCTTTTAAAAGCACAAAAAGCAAAGTTGGAATGATAGATGATAATTTCTGGGAAGGAAGAGAAAAATTTAGAATTTTTAAAAAATCAAAAATAATCCCAGGATTCAGTTCCCAATTATAACTGCTAAACATCATCAAGGTGGCCATCTATTTGTCTTCTCTTTTCCCCCACTCACCAGAAAAGGGTGGAATCCAAATCCTCAAAGGCCACCCTATTTCAAGGGCCGAATAAAGGTGGGACTTCCTCTTCTAGACCTTTTTTTTTTTTAATTTGCTTTTTGGTGAGGCAATCAGGGTTAAATGACTTGCCCAGTGTCACACAACTAATAAGTGTCAAGTGTCTGAGGTCGGATTTGAACTCAGGTCCTTTTGACTCCAATGCTGGAGCTCTATCCACTGTACCACCTACCTGCCCCTTTTTTTGTTTTTGTTTTTGTTTTGTTTTGTTTTGTTTTTGTGAGGCAATGGGGTGAAGTGAGTTGCCCAGGGTCATACAGCTACTAAATGTCAAGTGTCTGAGGCCATATTTGAACTCAGGTCTTCCTGAATCCAGTGTAGCTCTCCTTTTTTATTTCCATTTCCCTTCAACTCTTTCTCTTGAGATTGAGGAGAGAAGTGCTTAACTTCAAGCATCTATATCTCATCCAGGACTATAACACAGTCTCTGACTATGGAAAAAGAAAAGTCCCATACTCTATTTTCAGATTCCCTGCCATTTTGTGAGATTTAGTGGTTGTTAATAAAGGTAAAATTGAAATTTAAAGTTTTATGTATAGATTATATGAGATTTAAAAGACACAAAACCTTAGAGCCACCCTACCTGCACACTCAGCAAATAAATAAGGGCATATGCAAAGGACAGAGATCTATCTCTTTGTTCAGAGAAACTAGACTTAACAATATTGATAGCAATTTAAAGGGGAGGCATGAAACATTGCTTTCAAATGTCCATCCTAAAGAATGGAGAAGAATAGGATAATAGAAACTAGATGGCCCTCAGTAGATGGCCTCTGATGGGACGGACCACTATGGAAGGACAGATAGTGACTCTAGTTGTGTGTGGTTTGTCCTTCATTCTGGAAGAGGACCATGACATCAGGAAGATGATGCTGTGACTTGCAAGTGAATTGGATTTAAGTGAGGGAGTGCCGTGCAAAGTCACAAGCCTTACTTTCTCCTCTGGAGCCATCTGGGTCCAGTGGCAAGATATAAATCAGATGATTGGAGATGGCCCAGAGTGACTCTGGTAATCTTTGGATGTCCAATCTCTCTCACCCCATCGGCACTGCTCCCAGTTGCTGCAGCTAATGAACTGCTTTAATACCCTGTCTCCTGCTTTAATACCCTGTCTCCTGCTTTAATACCCTGTCTCCTGCTTCTTCTGCAGAGTAGAAGCATGCCATCTCTCTACTGACTCTTCCTTCTCTCCACTTCTCTCCCCCAGCTCCAACTTTTATGGGCTTTTCTTAAAATTTGACACAGCTTATTTGAAGCCTGCTGATCATTTCTTGGCCAGGAAGATCAGTAAAAACTCCAGATCCCAGGATGCTTAGCTGTCATTCAAAATATTTGACTCCTAACATCTTCAGAACCTGTCCTAGACAAAGAGGGGAGGGGAAGTTGTTACAGTAGCTAGTTAGTACTAATTAGATAGGTTCTTGAGCTAATGCCCCTGAACTTAAAAAAATTATTTAGATAACTTTATTTCAGTAATAGTGGTTGTTAATAAAGGTAAAATTGAAATTTAAAGTTTTAATCCTATATACATTTTATTTTGTGCATTTAAAAACATTCTGCGGTATCCCTAGGTTTCACCAGGCTATCAAAGGGGTCCAAAAGGACATTAAAAAAAAAACAGAACTAGGTGGCAGCTAGGTGGCACAGTAGATAGAGCACAGGCCCTGAAGTCAGAAAGACCTGAGTTCATATCCGGCCTCAGACCAAACTCTTGACACTTACTAGCTGTGTGACACTGGGCAAGTCACTTAACCCCAACTGCCTAAAAAAAAATTCTAATTTTTAATTAATCTTTTTAATTAAGAACCCTTGAACAGGAGGAAACAGTGAAAGAAATCTCAAGTTGGCACATCTGAGCCCCCTTTATTATTCCTTTGAGACTGATAGTATTACATAATGTTCCCACAGGGCTGAAGATTTATTTCTCAAGCAGAGGAATCTTAATGAAATGATACTACAAATGAAAATAGTTGGAGATGAACTCCAAAAATGGACTGAGGAAAATAACAACTTTCTCAAAAAAATCTATTCTGCAGAATATACAATACAGGGGTAAGTAGGGCTGGCCCAGGGTGCTAACTGGGAATTTGGCCCCTGAGGCAAATTCACGACTGAGGGGAGATGAAGAGTTTCAGGGGTACTCAGAGATCAGTATCCTCACTGCCCATGTCCTGCACTTGGGACATTACTACTATTCTCAGCTTGGCTGCAAACTGGAACTACTTGAGGGCCAAGAGTATCTTTTGTCTCATTTTGTATCCCTAGCACTTAGCACATTGGCAGGTCACAGTCCTAGCATATAGTAGATGCTGAATAAATATTTATTGATGGAAACTGGCAGTCTGTTCTGTGTGTACAGTGGAGTTACTGGGAAAAGTGGGCCCAGAGAGAGGGCCATTAAAGTGCCAGGACTAGGACCCTCAGCAGGTAATGGGGCCCCCAGGGCAGAGGAGGGGTGTTTCCATCCCTTTGTGGTCCTCCACATTTCAGCAAAGGAGGGAAAAGGTGAGGGATGACAGGGAAGAGAGTTTTGGTATAATTAAATGCTCGAAATGTGCTTAGCACTGAGGATACAAGTACGTACAAACAAAAGAGTTCCTACTCTCAAGAAGATTACATTCTAGCGAGCAAAGAGAAGTCCAGAGAGTGAGTCCAGCCGGGAGTAGGGACTATATCTTATTACTTTTTTGTACCTCCCCCAGTACTTAACCACAGGGTCTTTGCATGTAGTAGATGCTAATAAAGCCATGTTTGTCTTGCAGTTTATTAAGAGAAATGACCAAAACAGACTACCTTATAGAAAAATTAGACAATGAGGATAGAAGTCTGTCTGGAAATGAAAAACATCAAAAACTGGAGGTCAAAAAATGGGTAATGTATTCCAACGATGTTAAGGGCTATTAAATTTCACTTTGCTTACAAATACATGGGGGAACAAGTTGGGGGATTCAACTCCTTGTAACAGGATTTCTCTAATGATAAGAACAACCAAATGCAGAACAACAAACAGTGATCCAGAAGGTACAAGCTCTGGTTTTAGACTCTGGCCGATCTTGGGGGGCTGCCCTCCAAATAATAACTCTTTGGCTCATTCTGCCCCCCTCCAGAATTTTCTCTGGGAACCTCTATGCAGTGAATGCAGGTCTCCACAGATGTTGGTCAGAAGGACACCGGGTCCATGCAAGCACCTGAGCTAACAATATTGGGAATGAGACAGCCTTTATTTCACCTCACAAACATTACAGAAAACATAAAAGACTTATAGAAGCCCATAAATAATACAGGCAAACACTTACGGTCTCACGGAAGCCCATAGCAGTCAAGAAATTCCTGTCTCCTCCAGTCAGTCCCACGTTCTGCCCCAGAGACTCATACAGACCTCAAGCCTTATTGCACTACCCTAAAGATTTGACCTCTGCTAAAAAGGCAAATGAATTTAGGGTTATTTAGAGAGTCAATCTTCCACATTCCAGTGAATCCCACTTTCTAAACCAGAGACCTATCTAGACCTTCTCAGGACTTGCATCACCACTCACCCCCAGGGGAAATAAACTTGAGTTTGCTAGAAAGCATCACCATTGAGCTTTCATTACCTGAATAACTCATGGTAATAGCCAAGGGCAATCTCCTGGTGTTGAGCTCTTCTGAATGGTAGCTCAGTGATTATCTCTAAGTTCAGGGGCCACATGTTCAATCCTCAGTCTAGGAACTCTCACCTCTCAGCCAGAGGCTTCATCTCTCTGTAGTTACCATCTCTTAGGCCAGAAAGCTGCCAAAGCTTCTTAACAGCTGTCATTTTGGAGACTGAAGTAGAAGCTTCTTGGGGGCTAAGCAAAAGGGCAACTTTGGGCTTTACCTTTACCGTCTAGTGTCTGTTCTCTTCCCAACTGACCTTAGACCCATCCCCCTTTTATAAACCCAGTACAAAGGCATAGTTCTAATCCAAAGTAAACTGAGCTAATCAAATCATCCCTAATACTGAGATTTAATCACTAATACTTAATGAGATAATCATAATGAATCCAGTGAAGGGGGGAATCCATTCTATTGGAAGTTATAATTATTTAAAATATAGTAACTGGTTTCAGCCCAACAGAAATACACAGTGAGAATTTGAATAATGCAACTACTTCATGGGATTCATTATTCCCACTAATTCAGATCTAACTAAATTGTTTATTAAGAACCAACAGTCCTGGGCACTCCACAAATGCCATCAGGAAGATATCCTCAGTTATGTCATTGAGATATTAATGAGCATGTCCAAACCTTCCACAGAGAAATGTAATCAAACTTCTAAAATTATTAGGCTTTATAGCCCAACTTCCTCTTGGTTCATACCCTCTACAACATGGGGGGAAAATGTCAGAAAGGGTTTCCCGATGTAGGAGCTTTAGTGCTTGCAAGATGCTTGGGTTCTGTCCTGGACCTGCTGTGTAACAGGCAGATTTGACTTCTCAACTTAAAAAGAGTATATTATATATGATCCTGTTTTCTTGGTATTTAAGAAATGAGTACGACTTATATGACTTCTCAAATTATAGGTGGTCTAGTTCCTTCCAATTTGTCCCCTTTCTCTTGATTTTTTTTCCTATGGATTCCATCAGAAGGAAATATGTCTGTTCTCATTTCAATCTGTGAAACTCAGAATTATCTAGCTGACCCTGAAAAAAGAAAGGTTAGAATTGTTAATCTTTACCCTTGAAACTGGATTTTAGTCATGTCCTCTACCTGTAGAAGGTTGTGTTTCTTAAGGTAATATAGAGACTGAATGAGAATTTCAAAGGTTTGCCTAAAAAGTTTTTGTCCTGGGGACTCAGGCATTAGCCTGAGGAAACACAAACAGGAAATACCATCTGATGATAAGCTGACTCAACTTCCTGGATAGAACACAAGACCTCTCTCTAATACCATTATCTACACCATGATGCATGTAGGCGTCATGCCATTCAGCCCTTTCCTGTGCCCTTCCTCTGTTCCACCTAAAAAAGCCCCTCATCACCTTAAGAACCCTACCATAATGTGGGGGCAATCATCCTTATCATCCTGTGAGTGTTAAGTTTTAATGTTATACTCTATGGTCAGTTCCTCTCTCTCTGAATTTTAGTTTCCCTTTATCTCGTTACAGTGGCTATAATTCTTTGATAATTATCTTTTTTTTGGTCCTCCCTTCTTTAGTCCATCCCATTTCCCAGATAACCTGTCATCAATACTTAGAATGTTGCTGTATCCACTACTAAGAAAGAGTTGGGAAGAACTGAAAACAGGCCCCATCAATTACCTTAAGCACCTCTAGGTGCTTAGACTTTTGTGTCCTTAGGCCAGAGATGGTTCTGGCCTGGGTGAGATTTCATTAGATTAACCCCTTGACCTGTGGAAGAAGAATTTTCCTGAAGAGTATTTTAAGTTTCACTGTAACTTTGTGCTGAGAAAGAGGGAGAGAGACAGAGAGAGAGAGAGAGACAGAGAGAGAGAGAGAGAGAGACAGAGACAGAGAGAGAGAGAGAGAGCGAGAGAGAGAGAGCTCTTTTTTGGGGGGAGTCCTAGCCTTCTACTGAGATTCCACAGATAGAAAAGCAGGTTGCACTAAGTTGCAAATCATGTGCTATTATTCAGGGAAGGAGGGAACAATATTTTTCTATTCTTAACCATGCCAAGTGTAATTAGACAAGAAAAACCTAGAGTTTGCCTATTTGTTTCTTTCTTGAATTTGTTTTGGATATGGAAATCACTAATTCTGTGGAAAATGGAGACAAAAGAACATCCTGCCCTGGACAGTATCCTCAAAGAGTCTGCAGTGAGTATATAGGAAATAAGAGAATTAATAAAAGGGGATAATGAAGAGGGAGGAAAAATGGAAATCATGAGCTGGAATAAGGGAGTAGAATGAAAGGGAAATAACGAATGAGGATACAGTAAGATGGGGAGTAATGGGATGAAAGGAGGTGGCTATGAAGTGAGTGAGGAAGTTAGAAATGAGGGAGAAATGATAGGGAGAGGAAAAGAAAAATGAAAATATAACCTCTGGAAAGAAAAGCATATAAATTTGATTTTATAGAGAAAATGAATTCTTTTGTAAGCTCCATGGGATGCTTGCCCCTGAAATTCCAGAAAGCCATGTTACAATTTAGCCAACAATAATAAGGTATCTTCTTTGAATTCAGAGCTTGGCAGATCACATTTATCTCCACTAAAGATCAGTTAACTCTGAGATTCTCACATACATTCAACTTAATGATTAACATACTCTCACTTGATCGTACCCTACTCAAGTCAATGACTCTGAACCCCTTTAGGTCATCATTCAAGCTTCATTCTCCATCCCCTATGCCCAATTCCTTATTTCCCATCACCCTCAACTCTCCTACCCCAAAGTCCCAACCAAAAACTACTCACCCCTTCCACTGTGCCCTCTGAAATGCCTGTTCCATAGTGGGGAAATGACCCAGCATTCATCTCAAATCTTCATCTTCTGGTGGTCACTGAAACCTGACCACCCCTTGATGACACAGCCTCCCTAGTCACCCTTTCCAGTACTGGCTTCACTTTACTCATTCTCCTCAGCTCACTGGTTGAGGCAGGGGAGTTGGAATACTCCATGATCCTCATTGTCATGTCCTTGATCTACCACTACCTCTATCACTAAGTAACATCTACTTTGAGTCCCCTATAATCCAAATCTTCCACCCAATAAAAATCCTAGTAGCTATTATCTATAGACGTTCAGGATATACCCCTTCTTTCTTCAGTGAGTTCAGTACCTGGATCACAATCTTTTTCTCCTTCCCAGCTCCTTCCCTGATACTAGGGGACTTAAATATACATATTTACTCTATGTCAAATATCCTAACTGCCCAGTTCCTCTACCCATGACACTTCCCATGGATTGCCTCAGCCACACAAAAAGATGGTCATTGATCTTGCCTTGATCTTGCAGTCACTTACAAATGTACCACCGTGTTCAAGAACTCTGAAATGCCCTCATCAGGTCATAATGCATTTGCTTTCCACCTTTCCCCTTATCTTCCCTTGCCAAATGCTGTTCTTTATCCACACTATAACTCTAATCCCTCAACCCCTCAGTTCTTTCCCAGGACATCTCCCCAGTACTAGTCACTCTCTTCTCTTTCCCCCATCTTACCCTCCTGGTAAACCAGTTTATTCTATACCATCCTCTTCTCTTGAGTCTCTGGTCCCCTTATCATACCACAATGTGATTATGACATAATACTGATTCTGCCATGCCAAACCTCAGCCTTGAAAGACTCCTATTATCCAGCATCTTCATTCCTACATATACGCTGATGAACTAAGGTGGAGAAAATCACAACCATTCTGACTGGGTCCACTACAAACTTACGTTATGCAAGTTCAGCTGGGCCCTCACTACTGCTAGGCCATCTTTCTGCACCTTCTTTATAAAATCCCTATCCCATTCTCCAGAGTGACTCGTTCAAATGTTTTCATTCCTTCTCAAACCTTCCATGGCTCCCCTTTGCCCCAACCTCTTTCTTAGCCTCATAATTTATTTTAAAAATCGAGGCCATTTCCTGTAAGCTTTCTTCCCTGTTCTTCGTATCATATCACTCTGAAACTTTCTGCCACCATCTCCTGCTTCACCTCTGTCTTATACAAAGAGGTGGCTCTACTTCTTGCTAAGGCAAACACTTCCACCTACACAAACAGTCCCATTCTATCCTATCTTCTTCAATATCTTATCCTCTTATCTTATCCTTTCTGTCATCCTTATTCTCTCACTTATCTTCAACTTCTCCCAGCCTACTGGCTTCTTCCCCACTGCCTACAAATATGCCCATGTCTCCCCCAGCTTTAAAAAAAGACGCATTTGATTCTTCCCACCCCACTAACTA